TGGCCAGATATGCCGAACATCCGCTCGACAGAATCCCTGTCTGGCCGTTTGGAGACCGGCCGGCGGCATCGGAGAAAATTTTCTTAAGGAGTCTCGGATGAAAAGGAAATCGGCAGTATCATTAAAGAGATAAGAGTCTGATTGTGAGTGTTGACAAAATACCCGTCGCGTTAGGGGAACTTGGGAAAGGAGGGGCGGGGCATAGTCACACCTCACCAAAACACGAATCTCAGTTGTCACGGAGGACAACACTGCCGTGGTAAGGCAAAACGTCGTATAAACCCTCAGCCGTTGCCAAATTACCTTGGATAAATCAGAAGTTTTCGGGGAAATTTGTAGATAAGTTTCTTCCAATTTTTCAAAGAATTTTTCTCATAATTTCGTCGCCTTCCAGACATAAGGGTGTAACTACACTCTGCAATGAACCCTGTCTTCCCTACATATCGATGCTTTTCCGGGATCGTCGCAATGTGTAGTTACGCCTTTATGTCAGCCAAGCGACGATTTTATATTAGTCTGAAAATGTTAAGGTGATTCGATGGACGCCATATTTTGTGTCAGAACGGCATGCGATCTATCGCATCAATTGGTTCCATTTTTTCAGCTACTCGTCATTTTTCTCCAATTTTGAGATCGCAATTCTGTTGTCAGGAGACTAAAGCACTCACTTACCAATTTTAACAAAGAAATTCAACGTACTAAAAGCGTGGTTTTTTTAGAGAGAAAACATCGCATTCGATACTGATATCGAAACTGCACTCGAATGCGATATTTTCTCTCTAAAAAAACACGCCTTTATTACGTTGAATTTCTTTGTTAAAATTGGTAAGTGAGTGCTATAGTCTCCTGAAAACAGAATTGCGATCTCATAATTGGAGAAAAATAACGAGTAGCTGAAAAAATGGAACCAATGGATGCGATATATTGCATGCCTTTCTGACACAAAATATGGCGTCCATCGAATCACCTTGAGGAAAAATATTCAAATATTTGGCAAACTTCGATTGTTCATACGGAGTCTTTCCTTAGCGCGGCAGAACGTAACGCAAGAAGACGAAACGAGGACGGAATTGAGAACTTTTTCGATAAAAGGGCGTAGGGAGGCTTATTATTTGGATTGAGGAAAAGGATTCGTTACTTAGTTAGCGACTTTACAGCCTTCCCGACATTTTTCAATTAAAACACAATTCGACGTAATTTTTGTATTTGAGGAAGTATCTATGAAAAGCGCAAACGATGATGTTAACTCGTTTATCTGCACTGGAAAAAAAGTCCCTTAGGTCCGGAGTCCAGACTCTCGGAAAAAATACTCTGGAATCAATCGGATTTTTGCTTGAACAAAAAGGAAATCCGCTTGTATTAAGAGGCTGGGCTCGACTCAAGGAAAAATCCGATTGAATCAAAAGTATTTTTCTTGTCGAATCTTGAGTCTGGATTTTGGATCCAAGATACTTTTTTCCATCCGAGGGAAAAAATTAAGTAAAACTGAACATTTTGAAATCTCGTTGAAATCTCGCCGCCGACAGACATCGATTCCAAGTTTGCTACTCCGAATTGCTGTCAAGTGAGAAAAACTATGGCTTAAATGGAAACATTCACCCAATAGCGCCATTTTGTGAGGAGAGGCGGGTGAAAAGTTGATCTCCTGGACTAAATGACACTAAATTTCTACTCAAATTTGCTAACTGTCACTCCCTTTTATTGACAATCGCTAGGAATTACTATCTATCATCAATTTTTCTGGATATATTTTTAATGCGGGGCAAAGGTGAAATTAAAAATCTGTATATGATACTACGACACTAACTTCTCGCAGAATTGCAGGAACATTTCATGCAGGAGTCTTTCAGTAAAATGAAGGAGAATGGGTGATAAAACGGTCTTTTTCAAAAGTGGTCATTTCCAATCTCCCCCTGATCTACGAAATACTTTCAGGGTCGATCCGCCCCTGATCATAAGAAACTTATTTCTCACCACATGAATATCGACATTCCTGTTGATATTAATATATTATTTTTTAGCATGATTTTTAGGATATCAAAAAGTTCGTTGAAAATGCGGAACATTGCGTCATCTTTTTCAGCATGGGACCGTTGGCGATCAAGGCTAATCTTCCCTCTGGAATTCTTTCAGCGATCACTGAAGTATTCTCAAAACTCCCCCAGAGGATTCTCTGGAAGTGGGAAGATGACCCGTTAAAAATACCACATTCCATTATCAAAATATCAAAATGGTTTCCTCAGGAAGATATCCTGGTGAGTTTAAGGCGCTATAAAAGTCACTTAGGGTGATTTTTGTACAATTCTTACTTTTCTATTACTCAACAATAAGCATTGGTCAAATCTATGTGCGTGATACTCACGAACCGGATTTAGAGACTAAATTGGATTGCAATCTGCATATTGATGATGTCTCAACGAAATTCACTTGTAGATCTATTCCGATGCTTGAACTAAGCTGTTTTGAAAACGCCTTCAAATGCGGCGTGATACCTCACGCATTCCGGAGAGTTCAAATAGTTGTATCATTGCGCCGTAAGAATGTGACGGAAGATTTAAATGGAAATAGCCTCCATGCACGCTGGGCTTGTCGATTTCCGCTGAAATTTTTGCAGTTGTGAATGCATAGCTGAAGTGCGCTTCAGCTAGAATTGTATTTACAAAATGGGTGGTTTTTATAGGAGGATTATAATTAAACAAGTGGCTAGAAATGGAAACAAAATAATATGAACTATGCAGAACGATTATTCCAATAACGGAACTAAGCTGTTTTGAAAACGCCTTTAAATGCGGCGTGATATCTCACGCATTCCGGAGAGTTCAAATAGTTGTATCATTGCGCCTTAAAAATGCGATGGAAGATTACAATTGAAATAGCCTTCATGCACGCTAGCCTTTTCGATTTCCGTTTTAACATTTTTGCAGTCATGAATACGCTTAAGTGCGCTTCAGCTAGAATTGTATTTACAATTGGGTGGTTTTTCTACGAGGATTAAAAATAATCGAGTGGTGCGGAATATAACAAATGAATATGAACTATGCAAAACGATAATCCGGGTATCGGAACTAAGCTGTTTTGAAAACGCCTTTAAATGCGGCGTGATACCTCACGCATTCCGGAGAGTTCAAATAGTTGTATCATTGCGCCGTATGAATGTGACGGAAGATGTAAATGGAAGTAGCCTTCATGCAGGCTCGCCACATCCCATCTCGGGCCCTGGTACCAGCTTTAAGGTCCGGGCCCCAGGCACGGAGGGGGGGGGGTCCGAGGGGCATCCCCCGAGAAATTTTAGAATTTATACGACTAATTGGACGCATTTTGAAGCTACCTTAAATAATTTTTCTATTAATTTCTGCGGAATAATTACGTTTTTTTTTTCTACTTTCAGCACAAAATACTTGCCAATTGTTGTATTCAAAATATCTGGAAAATTTTCATTTTTTTTGCGGGGGGGGGGGCATATGATACTATTTTCAGTTCTATGAGGGCCAGGCTCCCCTGGACTCCCCCTTCGTTTGTGTATGGCAAGGGAGTTGAGTCATGAGCCATTGAAGTCGAGGATGCCCTGCCCATACTAGAGTCTCTTAGCATCTGACGACGGAAGAAAATGAAACGCAGATACTGAAAATTTCCCTCTGTACTGAAAATCTTGAAAATAGATAGAAATTTTCCAAGAAGTATACTTCTTGGAAAATTTAAGAAGAATTCTACAGTGCCCCAGCGTGTTTCTGAAAATCTATTCACCTTTTGCGAAATTTTTAGAGTAAATTTTTCACGTTTTCTTACGAAACAAGGGTTGCATGTGAATTCGTAGTGGTTTTTCACGGGTAACACGGGCCCCCGCCGGGGCCCGGGCCCCGGTACCAAGGACCCAGTATCCCTCCCTTGTGGAGGGCCTGGTGATGGTTTAGACTCTTGTTCTATTTGCCACATCTTTCTGTCTTCATGAGCGCCTTCACTCTTGAGTGTGTGCAACTAATTTAACAGCTAACTAACAGGCGTTTGCATAATCGCTGCTTTGAAGGCGTTTTGCATTTTGATCACGGAATTAAGCCCATCTTCTCACAACACAACAGTCTTTTTTAATAACGTACACCTCTTAAAATCTACACTGTCATTCTGTATTGTGCCTAATTTGTGGCTCTTGAGGGTAAAATTTAACCTGAGGAGTGGGATATTGCTTTATTTCCTCCTATAATGAGAATGAGTAAAAATTACTTTGGATATGACATAATAGGTTTTTCTTCAGCCTACGTCTTGTGGAAAATCGGAATCCCCATGCATCAGTTAGAAAAACTCTAGAATGCACCCGTGGTATATTTGAGAATGTTTTTAAGTATCCGTGATAGAAAAGTCTGACCACATACCAACCTTATTTAATCCATTTGCACCTTGTGAGAATAAGGTTGAATTTATCTAAGTCGCTTGTCTCGCCTTTTTTTGTCGTTGAGGAAAAAAAGGGTCCAATTTGTTTTCCATGCTTGTTCTCTACGCACTGCATGCAGACATGGAGTCATTATTAAAATATTGAAGAATTAATACTGAATTTAAATATGTCTCGTAGATCATTTGATTCTGTTTTGTAAATAAATGTTTAACTTCGTAAAAACTAGCATTTTCCTGACGCTTTATAATTTCATTTCATTCTTTCCAAGATCGAGCAGTCACGACCTAATTTTTTTTTGTGCTAAAAAAAAAGGCATTTGCTTAATTTAGAGCGTTGGCTCATATGATCTAATCTGCCCCTATACAATCTCTCTTTTGTCCTACACTTTTGAATAAGGGGCAGAAATATGGAGTTTCAAGAGTTTATACGAACCAAAAATATCAATTTTTTTGCGCTTTGTTTCACTTATAATTTTTCCTTGACCTTCATACTTTATCAAAAGCCTCTAATACGGTTTTGTTGCCCACACTCTATTTTTGGTTAAGAAAATCTAGCACCTACTGTAACCCCCGTAGAACCGCCTATGGGGAGTGATTGGAAATTATAAGATAAATGGCAATACTAAAAATCTTTAATACACCAAAGAAACTAAAAAAGAGGAGTGAATGTTTTTTCATGCCTGAATTGTAAGCGCAACAATACAATAGCGTTCAAATAAAATAAAGGTAAAGAGCTATATGCACGATCACTTTTCTCTTGAAATGGTTCATCTTACTAACAGTAACTATAATAAGAATAAGAGTAACTATAATAAGAGTTACTATAAGTAAGAATTCGATTTTCATCTGCAGTAAACATAAATTTTTGAGTCACTAATAAGTACACACACGAACTCATTTCGTGCAAGAAGTCTGGCAGTGTAATAGCTCTCAATCGATTGGATTCTAGTTTAAAATTCCTGTTCCTTTTCTCTAGAAAAGAACAGCAATATGACTTAAGCATCCTCAATCTGTAAGTCCAAAAATTAGAAAAAAATGGCTAAATTTTGAGTGAGCGAGCGTTACAAGTAAGTACATCCATTTTTAGTTCTACAGACAAAAGAAAAGTATATAATAAATGCATTAAGCTACACGATCACTTTTCTCTTGTAATGGTTCATCTCACTGGGTTTATCTACAGTACGCACAAGTATTTGATTTTGGCGAATTAATTATAAATGTAATTTCATCTTGAATTATAAACTTGGTAACTTGGCCTGGTTTTACCAGGTACCTCTTGTTATGGATTATACCTCCGTGTAAAATTTGACAGATTTTCTGAGTATCTGTTCAATTTCGACCGAACGTTCAGAGTCTAGCTCTAAAGTGTCACAGCACAGTTGAAAATGTTATGGGGATCGGTATATCTTACAATATGAGGACTTATCTGTAACAATAGCGGATGTGAAAAATTACCTTTTTGAAACACGCTTAAAAAACTGCTTTGTTCACACAAAAATTTAATATGTTTGGCTCAGGCATAATGTACAGATGTCAAAGATCACATCTCACGTATTTTCTCAAAATTTTCTCGATGCCAAAACAGTTTTTTAACTGTGTTTCGCAAAGGTAATTTTTCACATCCGCTATTGTTACAGATAAGTCTTCATATATCATACAATCCATTAATCCTAAAAATATCATTCAAAGTTTTTCTATGACAAAACATTAGTTGTTCAAAATTGATCGGAGGTGGGAAATGAGGTTCTTAATGCTTTGGATTCAATTAAATCTAATCCACGACAAGAGCTGTGCTGATCAGGAGAAACGAGCGCTGGAATGTCTCCTGGCCAATTCTCTGGTAAGGACGACGGACATCTCAGGCTGGGAGCGACGGCGGTAATCTTGTTGAGCCAAGTCCAGCGGAGTCTGCCTCATTTTCGTCACTGCCTGGAGATCGCAGGTCTCCGCCTTCAGCAATATCTGCAACCCAAATCGGAGCAATAATTAGAAATCCCTCCGGAAAATCGGTGGGCTCTTAAACCTGGGTTTGCTAGTTCAAGGGAGGCACGCGTCGAGTTGAATTTATTAAAGGGCGGGGGCTTAGTTTCACTTAGCGCTTTTCAACGTTGCCGTATTTACTGTTAAGACTAATTGAAACCACCTATTTGTTTATTTGGACGTTCGTCCTGAGATAAAAACGTTGCACTGCCAACAACACATCGTTATAGTGAGGTTCCTTGGGTGGTCCATAACATGCTGAAAGGAACACACAAGTATGTCCAGGAATGGTCTTTTTCTGGCGGTACACCGTAATTATTTGAGGACAAAAGGTCAAAATGACCTCACCGGCGTGTTCAGGTTTAAATCTTTGAATACTGTAATTTTGAGATCTCGGGGGCTCCTCCCTTGCTTCTGAGGCCTTTAGGACTCTACTAATACCACTAAATGTTTTAATTGTAAGTCCTCAGGGACTCAAATTCCAAATTAGCGAGCTTTGCTTCGTTCGTGGCATTAGTGGCTTAATATTTCAGTCAATATTGTTTCTCAATCGTTCCGATCAGTTCGCCTTCAATATCTCGATAGGCTATGTGTGCGGCTCGGGAGCAGTAATAGTTGCACGCCCCATTCTGGCCACGTATACTCAATTTTTTCATGGCTGTTTTGGTTTAATACTTCACTCCCATTGCGAACCCACTCGCTTTTGCAATACATGCAAAGCAAGAAAAAGGAAAATTTCACGACTTGAAATTCCGTGCAGTTTCAAAAGTACCCCAGATGAACCGTCAAGTGAGCATGACTGGTAAATTTTCCTGACTGTTTTTTTTTTCCTAAATTATTGTGTAACTGAGGAACACTAGACTAGTGAAAATTCCCTACGATTTAGAAGTATTCGAATCAAAGTTCTGAACTTTGCGAGAGTCCAAGTAAGCAACTTACACACAATTTATTCTAAGGAAACTTAATTCCAGTAATTCCAGTTCCATTTCAAATCAATACACCCTCCTCTAATCAAGTATATATTATTTTGTGCTCGGACGAAATTAATCAGAGTAAATCGTATGAAGTAAATGTGTAAGATTTAAGCTCTTATGCATAAAAAAGGCCAGAAATTCCACTCAAATGTGCCGTAAAATTATACCCACTGCCATGAGATCTCAAAGTCACAAATTTTACGAACTCGAATGTCAGTATAAATGCAGTAAAGACGTCTCAGTTCGTTTGTTATCCACCGAGAAGAACTTGAAATATGAGCTTTTGTCTAACTCGCAAGCGTACGCATGCTTATTTCGCGGCTGGGGCTGGCTGGGTTGACGTCGAAACTTGTAAATAACTGTTAAACCAGGCTAGCGTAAATAACTCAAAATGAACGAGGTAGTGTGCTGCCATACTAAGGAAAATCACCGTATGAACCTTTAGCAACTGCCAAATTTCCTTCGAGAAAACACGAATATTCGGAAAAATTCGCAAGGATTTTTCTTCCGATTTTTCAGAGAATTTTTCGCTCTTAAATCTGAATCATCTAAAAAAAATATTCATAACTTTCTTTAAAGATAAATATTTTCCGAGAGAAAATTTGGCAATATTCGAATCTTCATACGGCGTTTTTCCCTTACACGGCAGTGTAGCGAGGGTGTTTTGCGGGCGAGAGGCCGGAGACTGTTCATTTCTTTGGGCAATTCATCCCTGTTATTGGACCGATCAAATCGGAATATTATTCAGGGCGCGACAGGAAATGAGAATTTGAGAGAGCTTCTGAGTTTGTTATGAAACTCGCTCGATTTATTCGCCGTGAGAGATTAATCGAATAGCTGAAAAGCTACCCTCATCTAGGGTAGTTCACACCCCAGCGGGCTTAAGTTTCGGTGCACCGCTACTACCTCGTAACCCAGAGTGTTTGCAGACAGGGTTGCTAAATCTGGAAATGAATCATCCTTCATGAGGCCTTTCCAAACAACAGAAATCTTTGCTCTCGTTGTCCACACCTGTGCAATATTTCGCGTGTGGTCTTGTTTAAATTTAATTCTCATCTTAAAACAAGCTCCAAATTTTGAGACTTTAGCGTTAGGACTGGAGCATTTCGCGAGAAGAGCAACACAAACATTTGTGAAAGGAAATTTTTGGTCGTAAAATCAGTGTTTAACTATGCATTACGCAGAAGAAAATTAGTTAGGATTCATATAATGTTTTATCATTTGAAATGACAATAATTCCAACAAACTTTACAAAAACTTCAAAATCATAAGTTGAAAACTACTGACGCCGCAAGCTTGAATTATCACATCAAACACAGTGCGGCCGGCGGCGCAGAGCTATGGCGCGCACGGCGCATAGCAGCGCCTTACAAGACCGCAGGATACTTCATGCATTGCGCGTACAGCACGGTGCGCGCAACGCAAAGTATAGCGCCTTACAAGTATGCAGAATACTTCACGCATTGCGCATATCAAAATCGTGGGTAACATATTTGAATTTAACGCAAAAAAGCATGAAAAAATCCATATTTATGACAACAGAAAATAGAAAAATGCTTATCTGTGTTGTAACATTGCAAGTAACCGCTCATATTAAATTTTTTTAAAAAAAACTAATCTACATTTTTACTGCAATTTTTATGCGAATTTTTCTCACTTATTTAATGATATTCAGGAAAGTTTTTTGGTTGATTTTTCTCTCTTAATTTATAACTGAGGAAAATAACATGTGATTGAAAATGTAAAGAGGTTAAAGTGGAAATACGCTTGGTTCGACTTATGGCATCAACATGTGTCCTGCCTGTGATTTATTGTAAATTGGAGGGTACGTTCGATTTTAATGAATCTGAGTTGGAAAATTTGATTTAAAGTCCTCAACGGAGACCGCATTCTTCAGTAACAAATACAATAGGGGTTAGCGCTTCGGTCGATTTCCGTGCGAGTAGAGAGAGAATTTTTGCCAAGTAGGCTAGGCTTGCTAAACCAATTGCTCAACTCTCTAGTCATGATTTTATCATCAGACTCGGCACGTTGATTTGCAAGAGTGCCTTTTACACTACAAGGAATAGATAGCTACGCAGGGTGCTCAAAATAAAATATCGTTTCTCGGCCACTTGTTTCAAGCAATAGGATTGCCTAATTTTTCCTTCGTTTTCCTTTTCTATAGCTTTGTCTATCAATGTCAATAATTAGCCCGCAGATATACTGATGCTCTCTTAATTGAAGTGCTGCGGGCTAATTGTTGAAATTTATAGGCAAAGCTATTGACAAAGAAGACTAAAGGGATTTGGAAGGATCCTATTGGTTGAAGCGGGTGGTTACGACGGACAAAGAGGGTAGGCAATAGACCAACTAACGGCAACCCATGAGAGACCCTATCGTTAGTACATCATTGTCCCTGTTAGTTTGTAGAAACCAACCATTTCAACCAATAGGATCGCTCCATACTCCCTAGGTCGTTGTCTATAGCTTTGTCTATTAGTTTCCACAATCGGCCCGCTGTAGAGGATAAAGGTGTTATGGAAAATATTTTCGTCGGCCAGGTTGGCCTAAAGGTCAGCGCGTCTGACTCTAGGTCAAGAGGTCCCGGGTTCGAATCCCGGTGGTGGCGTCTAATTTTCACGGAATGGACCAGTAGACAAGGTACGATTTTAAGCATTTTGATACATGTTATTTAACCAAAATTTCACGTAGAACACGATGCGCACAACAATAATTAGCGAAATTAACTCCTTACGAAGATATTTAATGATTCCTAATGCGTGAATTCAAACCACCCGCTCAATAAAACTCAATGCTCTACGTGATTCACATCGCGCGTTGAATATAATCGTGACAGTCTCTGCGATATGAAAATCTGGCAACCACAATTTTGACGCTTTGGCTCAGTTATAGCAAATTGCTTATAATTTGAACAACACATGGTGGGAAATGAACAGTGCTCGATTGAGAGGCTTGCTGAAACTGTTGTAGTGCGCGCTTTGACTCACATAGAGCTTTGAGTTTCTTGTGAGCGGACAGTTCAAAATCCGCGTAACCAATGTGAAATAAAAAGGTTAATACCTTCGTCAGGAGTTAGTTTCAGTAATTTTCGTTGCGCGAATTGTGTTCTACGTGAAATTCTGATTAAGAAACATGTATCAGAATGCTTGAATTCGTGCCTTGTCTAGTGGTTCATTGACGAGTAGATCTGTCGAAACAGATTCTCCTCGGCCCGTATCCCTGAAAATTGGAAAAGCCTGGAGCATGGAGATCCCACGATGTCTACGGACACTAAACACTGTCTAAAGTTGGCTGGATGTTGGAAGTGCTAGACACGAAGCCATTAAACCAGCAAAAAAAAAAAAAAAAATTTTACCTGGACGACGTGGATGAAGCCACTCTCGACTGCGACGTGGAGAGCGGTGAGGCCCTCTTTGTTAGGGGCGTTGAGCTCGACGCCGGGGGCGGCGATGAGGAGGGCGACGACCTCGCGGTAGCCCTTGCCGGCGGCCAGGTGGAGGGCCGTGTTCCCGCGGAGGTCCTGCCCGTTGTGGCAGACGTCTTCGCCGTGCCTCAGGAGGGCGCCCACGGCGTCGGCCCGATTCTTCCGGGCGGCCACGTGGAGCGCCGACTCGTGGTAGTTGGAGCGGAGGTGGAGGTCAGTCGCGGCCATCAGCGGCTCCAGCCAGGCCAGCGTCCGCCCCCGCTCAAGCGCCTCGTGGAGTGCCGTCTCTCCTCGGTCGTTCCGGATGTTGGCGTCAGCGCCGTTCTTCAGCAGGATCTGCAACCCAAATGATGTCATTCATTATTAGAAAGGGTCACTTGAAGAAGGGCGTAAACGCCAAATTTTCAGAAATTGATTTTTCGACGGGGTTGTATTCTTTCAGGGTGGGCGCATCACTGAAAAACAATTCTCGGCGTTTTTACCAAGGTCTGTTGGTACCTTTACCAACTCACTTTTTTTACCAAATACTGGTAATTTTACCAAGACAGACTGGTAAGCTTACCTAAAAACCGGTATTTTTACTGTTTTTTTCAGGTAAGAACACCAATTTTATTGGTAATCAATTCCCGGTAACTTTGCCATTTTATCTCGATAATTCTACCACAGTCGATAAAAAATAGTGGCGTTTTTACCAAGGTCCAGTAAAATTACCGAGAAAGTTCAATAATTTTACCGAGATTTCTCGGTAAAATTACCAATTCCATAAATGGTAATTTTACCAAGAAAAAACTGGGATCAAATAGAACCCTGAATTCTTGGTAATTTTACCCTTTTCTTAGTAAATACACAACGATTTTTTTCTCAGTGATTTACTACCGATTCTGCCAAAATTGCTCTTTAAACATCTTTAAGTTTCTGATTTAGTGTAAAAGGGCTTGGCTTCCTAGCCATATCTCTTTCGGCGCACGGTGATTCTTCATGATTGAGACCATGCGAATGCACAAGCCAAAATTTTTAATATTGTCATCGCACACGCATGCTACTTGGCTGTTATGGTACTGCAAAAAACCGCAGTGCAAACTGAGTGAATTTGTGGACGAAAAGCGTAACCACCAACATTTCCAAAAAATTTTCCTCATATTTTCCGCACCTTCTCGACGTGTGATCGTGATCCTACTACAGGTGGTAATATGTAGCAAAATGCAAAAAAGGTTAAAAATACATTTTAGGGATCCAGGAGGGGAACTTAAACTTCCCTAAAATTGTGAGAATGTCTGTAAAAAGGACAACAATCGGACACAACTGAAAAAGAAAATATTAGTATTTGTTAACGATTCTAAAATACCTTCGTCGTTTATTAACTGAAAACTTCAAGAAAAATGTTTAAACTTACATCGGTAAAATGATAGTTTCACGGATGCAAATCCCATCCTTCACTTTTGAATAGCCGTAAGTATCCAATGTACATATATGTTCACGAAAATTTTATATTTTGGACGGAACGTATACGTGAACGTGATAGACGAGGTTCCTGGAATCCTGCAGGGTTTCTGTGGGTCCGTTTACGTGCATAATTTGAGAACGACGTAAGTATTCAATATACACATACATTTATGAAAAGTTTATATTATGGACGGAACGTTTATGTAAACGTAATAGACAAGAATCCCGGAGTCCTCGCGGATCCCTTCACGTGCATAGTTTGAGAACGACGAGGGTTGTGACTAGAATGAGACTGAAGGGAGGAAGCACCGCGCTGAGGATCTCGAAGAAGGGTTGCAACGTCGCCTCATAGAGCCCCGTCAAGCTCCCCGTGGAATTGAGGGTGACCACACACGAACTCACTATCATCAGGTTGACCATGTGCTCCTCCACCAACCGCGACACTATCTGCGCCATCTGACTCATTATAATTAGGATTAACGACACTGACATCGCCACACTCGTCCCGCAAACCGCTAATTACGAACAAAATAACGATGACGTCACAGCGGCTCAAGCACGGGGGATGAAGCTCGGGCCTCCAGTGATATCTCTGTAGCAGATGTCACTCTCACTGATTCCCGGGATCAAAGTCACTCGTGATATCACCTGTGCTCACGTCGGGTCGAGTTCGAAAGCACGAGGGATTGAAGCTCGGGCCTTTGGTGATATCACTACAGCAAATGTCACCCTCGCTGATTCCCGAGATTAAAGTCACTCGTGATATCACTTGTGCTCACGTCGAGTTGCCGCCAATATCACTCGAGCAGATTTCCCGTAACAACACTCTCGTTGCTTCCACTAACACTGTCTGGTTAAACGGTTTGGGGTAGGATTACCGGTGGCGACACTGACGTCGCTATTTGTGACGGTTCGGCAGTTGGTGATATCACTGTTGTCTCCGCGGTAGCGAGGGACTAGTTACTGATGTCCGAAAGGTCGCAGGGGACCGCGTCGCGGATGGTTGAGATATACCTGATGCGAGCGATGAGGGGATCGATTTGGATTTGGAGCCGTTGCAAAGGCACTCGGGCGTTTTATCCGGAACGCTGACGTCATGCTCGCGAATCAGGTGCTGATCACATGCCGCGTTATCTTCAAGCGAAGGCTCCCACGACCGCGCGCAGAATGCACGCCGCATCGCTCGCTGCCGAGCACAAAAGCGAGCAAACGACCGAGAAATCGACTGCACCGAAACTGGGTTTTGTCACGGTCAAGGGGACCGCTGTCACGTGACATCTACCTTCTCGCAGATAGAAAATGCATACATTTTGATTAAGGGACTCCTATTCGAAAACTGTGATGGTATTAATAGCGCTTATCAGAAAGGAGCCACAATTAGGAGACTGTCACCTGGAGGTGGGCACATTTGAGGCGTCGCACAGTGGATAGAGTCAATGGGTGAGGTCGGACATGATTTAGAAACTTTCGAAGCGTATTTCTTTATTAATATGCAATATTAATGTTTTAAAAGTAATTTTATTGGTTTTATCGTAAAATTTTCTATAAAAAGCACCCCTTAAAATTGAAATTGTGATGAAATAAACGTAATATTTTACAATTGTCATCCAAAATTTCATGTCCGACTTCTTCCATTGACTCAATCCACCGTGCGTCGGGTGCAGAAAAGGCATTTCTTGGTTGGGATGTTTTAGAATCTCTACGGCTAGTTTATATTTTAGAGAGGAAATTTTTGGGCAAATTTTCTGAAATTTTTAGTTGTCAGCATTGTAAAATTATAAAGAAATTCAGTGGAAGTTTTAACGAATTCCATGCATTTACTTTACGTATAGTAGATGAAACGGTAACGGAAGTCCCGAGGACCGCAACCAAGAAATGCCCCTCCAGCACCCAGTGCTTCAACTCTTTGAATGCAAAATATTTTTTACTTTCTTTTTTTCTAGAAATGACAAAGAAATCTGTTTTTTAATACTTCACTTCAACCATAATTCGTCTTAGTTCCATATTTCTGGACTGGTCGTTAAACGGGCGGCACTTTCCGACGGGGACATCCAAGAGCGTAAATTGACGTTTCGCAATTGGACCCAATTTTGCAATTAGGAACTAAAATTACTGACTCATCTATAAAAACACCAACGTGCAAAGGAGAACTAGTGGTACATAAAGTATCTCTAAGCTAAGCTAGAAATTGTAGTTCCTAATTGAATCAGGACGTGCGAAAACCGCCAAAGCCCATTTTTCCAGTCTTAGGTTTTTCTGAGTTCATAATACTTTTAAAGAGATGATAAGATACAACCATAAAAGTGATGAAAGGACTCATTTTGGGATTAAGGAGACCTGAAGACGAGTTTTAACGCCGCTTTTGTGATTGCAACCAACTCCGAAAAGTGTTATCGACTCAAAAGAATAAGACGGAAATAATGGACATTAGCGGTTTTCGCAAGTCCCGATTCAATTGCAAAATGAAGTCCAATTTTGGTGCAGGGGTTCGTTGGCGCTTATGATCATAGAGGGAGTGAGAGCTGGATTCGTGAAAGGAATCAAATCTAACAGAGTTGAGATGCCGGGTGTTGACGGAATGTGATAAATGATAACGTGGATGACCAGCTCTCAAATGGAGGGACACTGTTGTCAGAGCTCTCGCTCAGTTCCCCCGACGTACACTGAACTATTCTAATTCTTAACAGAAAACAGTTACATTTGTCAATGTGCATTGCATCGGTAGATGGGCAGGTGGAACGCATCTAAAAAGAATCGCCCCACTAGACTAAATAGTCTTGTGCACGTGATTCGAAATATCGGTCGCGGTGAAATTGCGTGGCAGTAAAACTAACAAAAGCCTCCATTTATAGAACAAATAAAAATGAGGGACTTATTTTCATTGATCTTATTCTGACAAAATTGTTATAGCACGTGGTTCTAATCTCTCTTTATCGACCGAAAACGGTGGTGATATTTTGGCAGACGGAACATCTTATGTGAAACTTAAGTTTTTTATCAAGTGTTTACGGTTCACGTGCTTATTAATAGAGATAGGTACTACACACAAACCGCCTTCCTTCTTTTGCCTAACTGTACATATGATAAGAAGCGGGCTTTGTTGTGTACGAGGCCATGCGACTTTCAGTGACATTAATGAGAGGCAGATCTTAGGCCGTTCATAAATTACGTCATCGATTTCTTTCGATTCTTCTTAGCTTCAGGGTGGCCCCCATACCACCCCTCGCGCGGTGGCGAAATTGATCACGCAGTAGCAAGAAAAAATCATAAATTCAGCATCGTCCCTCTCCGTTTGCTTTCTCCTTTGATTTGAAATTTTTAATTTTTGCCTACTCTCTGATACTTACATTTGCGCTTGTGGTGTATGCAAATTAGCGTCTCCTACCTAGAGGTGGATCCAGGAATTTGGCAACACCGGATTCCCTCCATTTAAACCTATTTTAATTAATCAAATCTTGTCGAAGCACCTAGCTCTTCCAAGAATCGATATATTTCCACAGGTTTAAATGGGGAAAAACAATGTTGCCAATTTGCTGGATCCGTCAATGCACCCACTGTTTTTAAGCATCGGCATTGCGTGTTCTCTCCTCGGAGAGAAACCACTTGATATGCTGTTGGCACATTTCTTTAGTTTTTCCCTCAAGAACAGATCATTTTTACAAAGCATCGGTAGAATATTTGCTGTCTATTAGTGCTATTGAACATGCCAGGAAATTTCTGTTCGGCACTACGCAACTTTTCTGAAATTTGCAAGTAAATCTGAAGGACCTTACTCTTGAAAATAATAAATTTTCAGTTTAAATTTTACAGCGACCAATGTCAATTGGTCCCCCTTCCCAAGAAAAAGTCAACAATTTCAATGGCATTTGCAAATATTATAAGGTTTATCAGTCAGGGGTCGAATTTTGACGGTTCGTTTACATAGGAGCGCAACATCCATCGTTGAGTCCAAACAGCACCGCCGGCAAATCAGAAGCGCTGAGCCGGCCTTAAGTGCAGTTGAGACTCTTCCTGAGTGCATTTAAGTACGGTGGAGGAACCAACAAAATTCGGCCCCAGGTTTTAGTTTTTCAACAGTCACAAAGACTCTAACTCACAGATCAGTTTACCAAGGATTACTTGCACTCGCGTCTTGCAACACAACGCGTGACGCGCAAGAGCGCGGACGCCGACTCCACAATCTGACTTGCGACACTCAACACTGAGTGAGCGATTTTTTTTTTCCACCGAGATCCATACGTGTTTGCGTCAAAACAAGACCCACAAAGCCAATTAACTTTCCCGTGAATTTATTGCGCTTTCGGAATCACGAGTGAATGACTAAGTTTCCATGTGTGCGTCATAGGTGAAGAGTAAGTCTCGGCACGTTAGCGAGGACTCACATCGACGTCAGTCACGAGTTGATAGTACCGCGTAACCGACCGCTTCCATCAATACTGCTGTGCTCAGGAAAAACGCCCCGTGAATCTTCCGACGTTGGCAAACTTCCTTTGAAATCTTTCGAATATATTGCGAAAGTTGTAAATAATTTTCTTCCGATTTTATAGACGGTTTCGTTCGCAATTTAATCCAAAATATCAGAATAGCAAGCAAATAGTCAAATCAGGCATTTCATCAAATGCCTGATGGTTCACAAAGACTTGTAAGTTTTTGCAAGACGAGGAACTATTAAGTTTTCATTGTTTTGAAAGTAATAATTCATCAAAACTACCTACTTATCTTGTATTTTGCCCTCCAAATGCTCCATATACCTTTTAATTTTCAGAATTTTAAAAAGTCGGTATTATATGACATGCTGAAAATCCCGAGTTGAAAGCTCGTTTAAGGACCAGATTTAATTTATTTACAATTGTATGATGCAAATTTTCATAGAAACTCCTTGTCAACTTGAGAGAATAATTATTTTGTTTGATGATATTACCTTTCTCCCGATCATTACTCTATGGTCACTAACAGTGACTTTCGTTCGAAATCGGGAGTCCGAGCTGCGATGCAAGGTACCATCAGTGGCCAGAAATTAATGAAGGAAACTTAAAATGCATTTTTCTTAAACGCTATTTTTTGCTAAGTGCCCTTTTCCCGGAAAACTCCTCAATTATCAAAAGAATCAGAATTTCAATCCACGTAAGATTATTTGACTATTACATTTGCCAAGGCATTTGACAAAATGCCTGATTTGACTAATTGCCTGCGACATATGCATACCTTTGTCCTTACGGCGTATTCCCTTAGCACGGCAAAGCGAGATCACGGTGTTTTCTCTTTGTCTTATTTGTCTGCAGCTTTGTCCAAAGTTTTGTCTGTTACTTATCTATAGCTTTGTCCATAGCATTTCGCGGGGAAATCAAAGCCAAGGAGTTCCAAAAATTAAAATTAGAGTCAAAATTATTTTTGAGCTCTAATGCGCACCAGTACGAAACTGGGGGGGGGGGGGGATAACGATAACTTTCCCACCACCAAGATAACTCTCTCCACCTTGTTACATACAGTTTCGGGCCACTTCTTAGTGTTTTTTTTTTTTTTTTGTTTGTTTTTTGTTTTTTTTTTTTTTTTCCTTCTTCATTTGTCCATATCTTTATCTATTAAACCCATAATTAAACAGCCCGCTGAAATACTGAAAGGAATACCTACGTAGAGCGGTTGGAGATGGTGGGAGCTGGAGGCGGCGAGGAGGTGGAGAGGCGACCGAGACCGATGATCGACAGCATTGACGTCTCCTTGCTCGACGAGGCGGGTGAAGATCTGGAGGAGAGCTGCCTCGAGAAAGGGGTCGTTGGCCAGGTGCCGGACGATCTGGTGGAGAGGCGTCCGGTGGCGGAGGTTCTCCGGCGTGGAGGCGTCGCAGCCGGCCTCCAGAAGGGCGCCAACCAGCGCCTCGTTCAGGTGGCGGCCCCCGAGGGCCAAGTGCAGTGCCGTCTCGCCGCGCAATGTCCGCGCACCCACGTCGCACCCGGCTTCGATCAGCGCCCTGCAAAAACATCCCTGGATCAGTATTTAAGACAAGTAGAGACCCTCTTCCCTAGTAGCAACGACTATTGGCAGGAAATGTAGAGCACGCCCTGCCAAGTCGTGGATTAAAGGAATAAAGCAGGAGATGAGGAGATGCGATCTGCCGGAGGAGCTCTGGCAGGATCGATGTCAGTGGCAGTTGGGTGTCGCAGAGCGCACAGAAGCGCTATGAGATTGACTTGTTAAGTAGTGGTAGAGACGCTCCTCCCTGGTAGCAACGACTGTTGAAGCGGTTTCCAAATAATGTCAATTTTGACTAGACAAAGCTTTAAAAAACTGATAAAATATTCGTTTTAAGATACCCTTTTAACGTATTCTTTCAAGTCAAATTTACGAGAAGTATAAAATTGAGATGAAATTTGAGGGCAAAAGTGCTGAAAAACTATCAAAATATCAACAGTAGTATTTAAACATTAATTATGTTTGGTAAAAATGTCAACATTTCTTAAAAAAGTAGTAGTCGTTTTCTTCCAAGACTTGTTGTGAGCGTAAATTTTAGAAAGAGTTAAAGTTTACTCAAAAGATGGTAAAAAAGGGATTTCTGAATGGAAAATTTTTACTGTTTTTTTTTCAACAGTTTTTGAAGATTGCATTTTTAAGGTCGTTGACACCAATATACTTGTATTCTGACACTTGCAATGGTAGAAACTTTTACTCACACGAATGGATCAGTTGCGTTAGTCACGGTATCGAGTTTGAGCTTGAACCATCAAATGGTTCAAGCTCAAGCTCATAGATTAGCAAAAACTAAAAAGACCCATAAAAACACCGAATTCCTACGACCAAGACGGATATATTGACGGAAAAATTTCCCCTAAAAAACACAATGTATGACACAATATTTCTTATAAAAAAACAATGTATGACTTCATCCAACGCGGCATTGCATACCATGATTCCTTTCCACCTTGCGCCAAGCAACCAATTCAAAACCAAGTCACCGTAGAACTTACGGGAATGAACTCAACTCATTGATCCAGGGCCGAATTCATAGTCGTTCCTATGAGAGTTCCGCTTTCCCTGAGGCCTCATGCCTCATATGGTTTACATTAGGATCGAGGGATGTTTATTAAGAAGCCTTCAATGTAACATCATGTGAAGGACAATTATTTTATCAATCTCGAGTAAAATTCAGCAGTTTAACTTGGAAAACAGATGCTCGCAAAGGATTACAATGATTTACAACTTCCAAAAATAAAAAATGTGAAAGGAAATATATTGCGCGCAAGTTTTGTAAATTTAAAGGTAAGTTCGTATCTACCTTAAATGTCGTTAAAATTATAGAATTTGTATCCGTATTTAGTACTTTTTATCGTAGCAAATCATTGTAATCCATTGAAAATATCAATTCCCCACGTCATACTGTTGAATTTCACACGAAGTTGCCAAAATTGTCCTTTTTAAGATGTTGTATTTTGAGGGCTTCCTTTAAAACGTTCCTTGATCATGATACGTATAAACAGTGGGGGGCCTCCTAACGAAAGGAGCTATTCAAGGAACAACTACGAATACAACCCTCAATCAAATTGGGCACGAGTGCGGTTAATTGATTCTAATAGCTTTTCTCTGCTTAATTTAGCTGTCCTTGGAAATTGGGAGCTCCGAATCGATTGTACTACCAACTGCGTGCCTTACAAAAAAGGACGTTTATCGGAACAAGGCGCGCTCGATTAAAATATGAGAAGTGGGGCAGCGTTAATGACAACGTTTGAATGCAACTATTCGTGTTCGACGGATGTGCGTGTTGCGTGTGCGAGGATTTGAAGGCGCCCTGGCTGCTCTTTTTCGCTCACAGCGATCGGCATAACCAATAATCCTCAATCTAACAAACCGGGAGGAGATCTTGAGGAAGTAAACAATTCTCACCCTCCTCCGTCTCCTTCCTCTTCATTTCGCTCTGGGTGCAGGTTCACCGAAGAGAAAGTGAAGTTGATTTAACATTCAAGATGTAAAAAAAGTGTGCGAGAACTTATAAAATGCTGACTTACCCGTCACAACAGTTAATTTTACAACTCGGCATTGCTTAAGTTTTCGGAATAACCAGACCCCATAATAATCGATATTCCTCCACTAAAAAAATATCACTTTTCATTTTTATTTCATCAAAGACCTAAGATTAGAAGAATGTACTTTTTGAAATATTTCCAAGCGTTCAAACATATAGTATGCACCTAGCTTTCAAGGGTAGGCTAGAATGTCGGGATTTTGTGAATTTACCTTATTTTTTTGCGCGTCTTGTCCTGAAAATCATACAATGAATACAGTGATTTCAAACTGTTGAGTATTACCCAGAAGAAGAAGTGTTACTTGAACGATTGCTCATATAAACTATAACATCTTTTGGGACTAAATTTGATGGAGAAAAATACGTAAACAAATTAAAATTTATCGACACTTCCCGACCATAGAAATAACACTGACCCAGCAAGATTGAATTGGCATTTGCTTGTTGATGAATGGATCAGCTGAAAAATCGATGTCTATTGCAGTTGTTTACCCCAGTAGAATGCGGAATGACATCATCTTAAAGTTCAGTAACCGGAGAAAGTAAGGCATCGTTTATTGACAATGACGGTTTCGTATGACGAAGGAGCAAGGTTTGATGGCGACTTCCTAAAGTTAAAAAAATATTCGTTGATATGAGAAAATTCATCATCTACATATATCTCAATATGTGTTCAACACGATAAATTGCAGAGTTTGACGCACAAAAAGCTTGAAAGAAAAATTCCGCTGTGTATTTATGCGAAGATTCATGCTCTCGAGTGTCGAGAGTATACAAATGTCCAAGAAAAAAAGTTTACCAGTTTTCTGTCGAAAAGGAAATTTTGAACTCTGCAGTTGAGAATGAGATACAGTGTTTTGGTATTTAGCACGTTATCAATTTGTGTCACAGTATTTACATAGTGTGATACGAGTAGTGAGGGAATTTGCGTGGTAGAATGCTGAATAAATAATAGATCCTCCACTAACGTAATGATTTTGCAAATAATTTGACCAACTAAATTCTCATGACAGAAATGTTTATTTACAAAAAAGAACAATTACATACACGTGAAAAATAAAACAGACAAGCACATGCGTACAACCACGGAATCACATATCTTCATCATCATAACCTTTCTCAAGATTGGAAAAAAAAGCAAAAGCCAAAAACATCATTATAGTTAGGATGCCATTTCGCTGTATTTGATTTTAAAGTCTCTCATATGACTTGACAAATTGCAAAAATCGGTGAAAGGCAATAAAGTACTAGGCAATAAAGTACTGCTATTTACGAAGTTATTTCTCAAATTTGTTGATGTATCTTGATTCTATCAGGTTGCAGTCAATATTTTGAAATGGTATCTATGGTCCGCCTCTAATCAAACATTCCTCCATATTAGTAAATGCATGCCATAGAGTACATGGGGTCGTAATGTGAACGGGAGATCTGGGACCATGTCCTAGACGACGAGTTCCGAACCCGATGTGCGCCGAGCTTCAGTCACTTTTTCGATGCATTTTCGGTCCAAAATGGCGATGAAGAATACTAGTGATTCCTATCCTCTTTGTTTACATTGGATACCCCCCCCCCCCCCCCGGTCCCCGAATACAGGGTCCCCGACACAGGGGTCCTGGAATTCGGGACCTGGAAAATGCTTAAAAGTGGTCCCTGCTCTCTCAATCACATTACGACTCTATGTAACTCTATGCTGCATGCATAGCCAGATGGAAGGCGTTAAGCAAAGAGGGATCACAAGTTTACGGGTTCCCTTTGTGTGTTGTCTCTTTTCATTTGATACAGCTTGATTATACCCTGCCACGCTGCGCCGTGCTCTCAAAATAATAAACTGAAAAAATAGGTAAGAACAAAAAAGAAAAACAAAGATCGAATCGCCACCAAACATTGGCGTTTTCGCTGTCCACAAATTGATACGAGCACTTCATTTCAAAGCCAGCTTCAGAAGTGCGCAGGGACGACACGAAGACCAAGGTTTACGGAGAGTGGACGATTCAATTCTAAGTAGAAAAGCCGATAATTGCCTGAATGTTTTGAACAAAATTAATTAGGTCTATCAATAAATGATATTGCAGCAGCAGAACTAGCTTAAATTGAGTTCCTCCGAGGGTTCGAGGTTTTCAATTCAACCGATATTCCTCGTTAACGATTAAGATAAAAACCTTAATTTTGTGTAAAATCAACCCTCAAGCTCATTCAAAATTTGCAAAGTTTAGGTGGTAATGGATTGCAGAAAATAATGATTTATTCACGGAGAAAAAACTTCGTGCGTGGGACCCAAAGTTGAAGTCATTTGGATCTCTGAAGTTTCCGGATCACGTATCTAAAAACTTGAGGTCTAGCTGCCGAAGTTCGGGTCACACATCTGAAGTACTCCGGTACATACCGAAGTGCCTCGATGTCTGACCCGAACTTCGGCAGCTCGACCTCCAGTTTTCGGATGCGCGATCAGAAAACTTCAGAGATCCATATGACCTCAACTTCGGGTCCCATGCACGAAGTTTTTTTCTCCGTGTTGATGTCTAAACGTTCCTATTGACTCTCGATTTTCACGTTGCACCTACTATCTATTTTAAGTATTAGGTCAGAGAGAGTAAACCTTCGATAAACGATGAAAAAACAAGTAGATGCATACATTTAATTCTACTGCAAATGATTTTGGAGATTTCTTGCGACTGCTTTGGTTTGCTTCAGAATAATATCCAGGACTGTTACTTTTTTTAAAAATGGTATTGTCACCTATTTCAAGAATGTAATTGTAACCGTCGCTGCAAATCCCCCCCCCCCTACCTGTTTTTTCATCTTGAGGACGGTCACACTTTATTCTGGCAGATCATCATTTTGTAAGGAAAGTTTGCAACATCGGGATCAGTGGCGTGGCGTGCTCTGCGATATATCGATTGTTATGCCATTTAAGCCTCTGGAAAAGGATCGATAAACAGGGTGTTCGCAGCGAACACCATAATAATCGATTCTTTACCATAGGTTTAAATGGCATAAAATCCTCCGGGAAGAGGAACGGAAACTTGGTTGCAATTAAGTTCCTTTTTTCTCCGGTCCGAACCAAAATCTTGACCATTTGCTCTGTTTTTTTTTCTGCGGCCCCGTTCCTGTTTCGTCCGTTCCGAACCAAAATCTCGCTAATCTGCCCTGTTTTTTTTTCCCCGGCACCGTACTGGGCGCCGTCCCGGGTGGGTGCCCCTGCGGAGGTACGGGGTGGGGCAGTTGCCCGTGCGCGGGTACGGATTGAGGCATGACCCCGTGCGGGGGTACGGGTTGAGGCATGACCCCGTGCGGGGGTACGGGTTGAGGCATGACCCCGTGCGGGGGTACGGGTTGAGGCATGACCCCGTGCGGGAGTACGGGTTGGGGAAGGTACACGGGACCGGTGCCAGACGGGTGTGGGGGTACGAGATTGGCAGTAAGCGGGTGCCCGGTCCGCTTTCTGCGACGCTGCTGGCGTACCGTAATCTTCTTCGGATTATACAGCATAGGGAACGGCTGCGGAACTCCGGCCTGGATGACTTCCGAGTTATACCTGTGGAGGAGGCGACGAGTGTACGGCCCGACTTCGCCCGTGATGAGGTCGACAGAACCGTGGCAAGCGCGGAGCAACCACTGGAGCCGGATTCGGAGTCTGAAAGGGAGGTCATCGATGGGGTGACAGGAGCACTTGTTCTTGTGGAGTCGGAAACGGCGGCAGTAGCCCACCAAGCTCGGGTCCTTTTTTTCGCACTCCGCGCGACACTTCTCCCAGCCTTCCCGACGGAATTGCCGCGCCCTTCCCAGCACCTTCCATTCGCATACGTCCGCATGCCAATTCCACAACCCTCTCGGTTCAAGTCTCGTCTCTGCAACACGAGGAAATGGGCACAATAGAACTCGCGTCAATCCGGCAGTTAGGCTATGGCTCGATTGGAAAAATCGGTCTTTTAAAAGTACCGAATGGAGCACGAGAAAATGATAGAATGAAATGTGACTTAAATAAGTGTGTCAGGAAATTGTGATTTACGAACTAATTCCTACGTAAAATATAGCGAGAAACACGATGATGCGTTTGGCTTCTCTAGAACAAACTCCCGAACTCAAAAAAGCTCTCAAAAATGAGGCTGTAATGCAGGGGATATCCCACGCTATCCCGAGAGTCCACCCCTATATCAAATCAAACTCTCTAAGCAAAGATAGAGAGCGTACATATTAGTAGGGTTGCCCCCTTTCTTGGGGACTCCACAGCTGAAAACACGGCAACCTTGCTAATGTATTTTCTCCCTATCTCCAGGGCCAGATTTTCCTACTTGCAGCCCATGGGTCGCCTGTATTTTGCCGCTCCCTTCTCATTCGTTTTGAAACATCAATAAAAACCATCAAGTGAACGTGCCAGGGGGGGAGGGGTGCATAAGACGCGTTTACTCGTGTTGAACACATTTTTTGGGAAAGCCCTGTCAACACTACTAGCAAAAGGTCACGGAACTTTGCGCGAAAGTCAAGTTTCGTAAACTATCTCTAATGGACAAGGCCTTCCATTCATAAGAAATGAACGAAAAAATTATGAAAGATCAAAAAAAAAATTTGGTTCAATGAGTTTAACTTCCGCCGCCGCGCCGCGCCGACCGCACCGTGTTTGGCGCAATGCGTGATGTATTCATGCAGTCTTGTAGGCGCTATGCGTTTCACGCTGACCGCACTGTATTTGGCGCAATGCGTGAAGTATTCATGCATTCTTGTAGGCACTATCCGTTTCATGCTGACCACAATAACCGCACTGTGTTAAATGCAATGCGTGAAGTATTCGTGCAGTCTTGTAGGCGCTAATATGTGTTACATGCCGATTGCCGCGCCGAGGGCTTCTCCTTTTCATCTCAAGTCCTCGTCATCATTTCTCCCTAAGTCGTTCCAGGCCAAATTGTGTGTTTGGTTTCTCTCTTAACTCGACTAATTAAAGGTGTTATCTCTTGTATCACTGAAAGACGACAAAATTAGAGATTACTATACTCTCAGGAAATGAGAGATTTTGTAGCCTTTTCTCTTTTGTAATATTTTTTCTCTAAATCCGCTTTTTTTTTATACCCACATTTAAAAAAGTTGCAAAATTTGCCGCCCCCTCGATTTGCCGCCATGGGCCGCGGCCCATGTGGCCACCCCCTTAATCCGGCCCTGCCTATCTCTGCATAAAAAGTTTAACTTGATATATAGAGGTAGACTCTAAGGATTGCGTGTGATATCGGCTCCCTTTAGAGCCTCAAATTTGAGAGCTTTTTTGAGCTTTTGAGCTTGTTTTAAAGTAAATAAATGACATCAACGTGTTACTCGCGAAATTTGGCGCGGGTAAAAGTACTTAAATCGCAAACCCCTCTTGCAATCGCTCCATTTTGTGACTATTCAACGCGAGAATTTTCTAGCGATTTACACAGAAAAATAAATCACGATCGCAAGGAAAATTTCCCGCGTCGCGAAGAAGTAAAATGATGTATACATCCATGATAAAATTTCATTACCTCAAAAATAATTTTTCTTGTCATAAAGATACTTTCGTGTTGTAACGAGACTTGGAAAAGTCTTTTTGAGATATTCTTTTACTCGTCGTGGTCTCTACAATAAATGACCACGACGACGGGGAAAATTACTGTCACTTAATGTGATTATGTTACAGATTCACAAATTTTATTGTACTTTCATGTGGCAAGGACGATTTTCCTTGTGAAAATTATTTTTTATTTATATTACATCTAGTTACCTTTTATTATGTATTCTTCTCAAAAATCAAGTTTTCTTGACACCCATTAATTACAAGTCTACGATTAAGTTCTCTTGTCTAATCATACATGGGATGTCCGAAAAGTTTTGTCACAAAGCCTCGTATAAGCGGACGAATACAGCTAGGAAACTTCCAGTTTTATAGGCTGAGAGTGGATTTTATTGGATCTCTAACGCAACCTTGTTGAGCTGATTCGATCAAAAATTTGCTAGCTTAGAGCCATTATTAGGCACAGTGCTCGTTTGTTCGCTTTTACAGGGAGGAAGTACTGATCATTTAAACTTAAATCGCTTTACTGGTCAGTAAATTTTAAACAGCTCTTTCCAATTATAATGAAATTTATTCTTCCTCATCCCTATGACTCTTCTCTTTTTAGTCTTTCAAAACATATTTGCCGTCATCTTAGGTGCATAACTTAAGGTATTCCTTCCACTTAATTCGTGTTTTCCCCCGAAATGTTTCTTTGAACTGAAGATAGTTCAAAATTTTCTACTTCAAAAACAGAGGTGTTGGGTGCAGAAAGGGCATTTCTTGGTTGTGGTGTTTCAGAATCTCCAGAGCTAATTTTTATTTTGGAGTGGGAAGTGATGGGTGAATTCTCTGAAATTTTGCATTTTCAGTACTGTAAAATAGTGAAGGATATTTATTACAAACAAACCAGTATTACAGTATTTACAGTATTTTTGTATTTATAACAAATTATATACAACAGCTTTAATTATAATGTATGAAACGTTACCTGAGATTTTGAAACACTGTAATCAAGATATGCCCTCTTTGCACCCAGCGCTTCAATGGGCCTGTTGCAAACTTTTGCTAGAGCAAAAATAAGAGCTGTTTCTTATAGATAATGCCTCAAAAATCACGATGAGCGCATCGGCAAAGTCTGAAATGCACTCATAACTTCACAATCTGCGTAAGAAATTTGCGTTTTTTTAAGCTTCCCGCTTCAAAACCGATACTACGACACAGGTGAACATTTTGTTAGAGGAGTCGCTCCATCGTCGGCGATATTCATCATGATCGACGCTTGCGCGCAGTTCCGCGCGTAATTCGAGGAGAGTTCAAGGTCAATCAATTCGGGCGTGGAAAATATGAACGTTAACACGCCGATTATTATCTGGTCTAATTCAGTTCAGGTGTTATCTCGTCCCATAACACGTGTTTTGGCGGATTGGCGTCGGTCATGATGAGTATTGCCGACGATGGAACGACTCCTCTTACAAAATGTTCACCTGTACCGTAGTATCGTTTTTGAAGCGGGAAGCTCAAAAAACCGCAAATTTCTTACGCAGACTGTGAAGTTATGAGTGCATTTCAGACTTTGCCGATGCGCTCATCGTAATTTTTGAGGCATTATCTATAAGAAACAACTCTTATTTTTGCTCTAGCAAAAGTTTGCAACAGGCCCATTACTCTAAGAAAAATTTACTCAAAGTTTTAATTATTGTTAGAAGCTCAAAATCGTCCAACGAAAATGCAACTGTAAGCCTTCTTTCGACACTTTAGCAAATCAATTCAAGATATTCTGGGGGAAAGTAAATAGAGTTTTTCATCGAAAACACAAACATCTTCCTGACCACACTTGGCAAAATTTGCCACTATGGTCTCCTCCCCGTGGAGAGTCATATTGGAATTGTAAATTAATTAATATTTTTCGGCCTGATAAATACTGATTATTACTGATTGATTGAAGCTAGTGAAAATTTACTCACGTTCTGATGTCTCGTCCTCGAGGTATAACTCATTGGAGAGATCTGTATTTGCATCGCGACGACCGTCCAATGGGTGTTTCTGATCACTGATTGCCTCTCGGGCGTCATCTGGCACCACCAACACTTTTTGCTCGAGCGCTTGCGTCCAAACTAGTAGAGGTTGAAGCAGTATGAAAGAGCTCACGAAATGAATCCCGATCATTTTTGAGGCAAAGGCACCTTGACTCGAACACGTGGTGATGTTAGGGCTCACTTTGCCCGCTTTCACAAATAAAGCACTACTCAAAAATACAGTTTACTGAAAAGCGGAAAATGGTGTGTGGGTAATTTTTCCGCTGTTCTCTCGACCGTCACCTCATTTACGTTCGTGCTTGTTTTTGAGCTCTTCATGTGTTGCTTCCGTGCAAAAACACGCTTGCCTCTGGCGATGCGACGCATTGGTGTGATCCCTTTGGCACCTGCATTGCGAGCACAGCCTTTGAGTGACGCATTTTTGTCGCACCAGAAAGAATTGGGAACGTCGTCTCTCTTCATTGATCGTCATGAGAGTTGGAGAGTGTCTTATGAATATCTCTGAAATTTTACAAGATTGAAATTCGATCCCACTTTTTGGGCACATTGTTTCATTTTCCTCCAAAAAAATAAATAAATAAATAATAAATAAAATACAATGAAATAAAATAAAATAATTATTTTTTGTGAGTCTCCGTCATCATTTCAATGAAAATGACTTTAAATTCACTTAATCTAAGATTTTCAGTAATCCAGATTAGGATTCTAAAAATTGCAAAAGTCAAATGCGGACCTGTACGATATTAACCTATTTAGGTATTTTTGATGAATGGTTAGTGGACAATTTTGAATCAAAATATCTTTCGTCATGATGAAGTTTTTGACTTACAATTCGACATTTCCCGACAACGGTTCCCTACACTCCGAAGATAAGCAATTTTGTTTTGCGCCTTCGTGAAATTTTCCAAATGCACATTTTGTCACACCGACATTGTGTGCATTTCACAGAGTAAAAACTCTGATACTTAATGTATACAGCTGTATTTCTACATGAAGATTTTGGCCAAAAGCGGAGGTGCGCTCTGCCCTTTATTACATCGCACGCTCCATTATGAAAGTCTAAACTTTGTCAGCTTTTTGGCGAGCATTTTCTTTATTGATAAGCTTGGAAGTTGATTTTATACAAACAAGGGAGTACCACCCATCGCCTTTTTTTTAAAAAAAAAATTGACATAATATGGCGGATATTAAAGAATCCTGTCCTATAAAAAATATAAAAATATAGACAATAGTCGTATAACGATTGTTTTACGAAAATGTAACGAGTATAGGTACATAAAATATGAAGATCTGAGGGACATCATATGGGCTGTTTAACTTTTAATTATCGCTTTAAGGGGGGAAGGTTAGTCACCCCTTTCGCATCATACTTCTTTATGGGTAGATTTGAATCTTACAATGATTTTTAACTTGGCGTATTTTAATTTGGTATTTCTTGCGTCTTCAAATTTTCGGTTTGTCGGGCTGATTATTGAAATCGATAGACAAAGCGATAGACAAGAAAAACAAAGAGAAAATGAAGCAATCCTATCGGTGATAGCTACAATTGACAAAGTAAGGAAGTAATAGACTAAGTAACGGCCAAAAACTCATGAAAGATCCTATAGCTACGAGGGTAATCCCAAAAGTCCTGCGCATTTTGCTCTCATTTCAAAATTATTAGAGATAGAGATAATCCGATTTAATACGCATATGAGGCATACTTTCAGCTTTAATGTAAGCTAAAGTTTTAAAAAATCAGATGAACAAGACGCTCACGAGGTCATTTCTCCCGCGCCGAAGTCGATGCGTTTCCCGCCACCTCCGGGCGCACGTATCCGGGCTAACAGATGTGCGGACAAATGCGGCCATTGTGATCCGATCGCATTTAAATCCTCATCAATATTTTTTACCAGGTTATTAATATTTTTAACATGCTGTTTTTGGGGCCTTCGATGATGAGTGCAATCAGTGTTCTTTCGACACATGTGCGCAAGCTTACTCTGTAAAGTGTGTTGTAAAGTTACGGCGCTTTCAAAGCCAGAGAACTGTGAAGTTCGGTCAGTAATTCGATTTTTGACTTTGGAAGGTGTTCGGCCATGTGACATTATTTGCAGACTTCATACAATTTGCGGAAAAAATGCGATAAGCGATGAAAATGTCCCGGAGGTTGAGCCAATCGTTTCACAGAGGAAGAACAGAAGTGCTTGATCGACATGTCGCAGGCAATTTAGAATCTCCGGCAATCTCTAGGCAAAACGCAAGCCGGCGAATTGCCTAGGCAATTTGCAAGCCGCTAGAGATGAACAAAGATGAAGAAATTCTGGGGGAAGATACAGGCCCGCCACATCCCATCTCGAGCCCTGGTACCAGTTTTAAGGTCCGGGTCCCAAGCACGGAGGGGGGAGGGGTTCAAGGGGCATCCCCCGAGAAATATTAGAATTTATACGACTAATAATTAGACGCATTTTGAAGCTTCCATAAAGAATTTTTCCATCAATTTCTGCGGAATAATTATGTTTTTTTTTCTACTTTCAGCACAAAATACTTGCGAATTGTTGCATTCAAAACATCTGGAAATTTTTATTTTTTGTTTGGGGGGGGGCATATAATACTATTTTCAGTTCTAAGAGGACCAGGCCCCCCTGGACTCCCCCTTCGTTTGTCTATCGCAACGGAGTTAAGCCATGAGCCATTGAAGTCGAGGATGCCCAGACTGAAGACTCTTAGCATCTGACGACGGAAGAAAATGAAACGCAGTTACTAAAAATATCTCTCTGTACTGAAAATCTTGAAAATAGATAGAAATTTTCCAGGAAGTATACTTCTTGGAAAATTTAAGAGGAATTCTACAGTGCCCCAGCGTGTTTCTGAAAATCTATTCACCTTTTGCGAAATTTTTAGGGTAAATTTTTCACTTTTTCTTACGAAACAAGGGTTGCATGTGAATTCGTAGTGGTTTTTCACGGGTAACACGGGCTCCCTCCGGGGCCCGGGCCCCGGTACCAGGGACCCAGTATCCCCCCCTTGTGGCTGGCCTGCCTTCATGCACGCTGGGCTTGTCGATTTCCTTTGAAATTTTTGCAGTGGTGAATGCATAGCTGAAGTGCGCTTCAGCTAGAATTTTATTTACAAATGGGTGGTTTTTCTACGAGGATTAAAAATAAACAAGTGGCACGGGATATAACAATAGAATATGAACTATGCAAAACGATAATCCGGGTATCGGAACTTGGCTGATTTAAAAACGCCTTCAAATGCGGCGTGATACCTCACGCATTCCGGAGAGTTCAAATAGTTGCATCATTGCGCCTTAGAAATGCGACGAAAGATTGCAATTGAAATAGCCTTCATTTACGCTGGCCTTTTCGATTTCCGTTAACATTTTTGCAGTCATGAATGCGCTTAAGTGTGCTTCAGCTAGAATTGTGCTTAGCAAATGGGTGGTTTTTATAGGAGAATTATAATTAAACAAGTGGTACGGAATATAATAAAAGAATATGAACTATGCAAAACGATAGTTCGGGTATCGGAACTTGGCTGTTTTGAAAGCACCTTCAAATACGGCGCGGCGCGGCTTGATACCTCACGCATTCCGGGGAGTTCAAATAGTTGTATCGTTGCGCCGTAAGAATGTGACGGAAGATTTAAATGGAGATAGCCTCTATGAACGCTGGGCTTGTCGATTTCCTCTGAAATTTTTGCAGTGGTGAATGCATAGCTGAAGTGCGCTGCAACTAGAATCGTATTTACAAATCTGTCTTCCATCAAATCGTTCATAAATAGGTGAATTAAAAACAAAAATCGTGCTAGGTGGGTTCCGAAAAGGCTGACTTATCGCGCGCCTGAAGGTGGCGGGGAACGCATCGACACATCGGGGAGAAATGACCTCCTGAACGTCCTGTTCATTCGATTTTTTAAAGCTCGGGGTTAAACTAAAGCTGAAGGTATGCCTCATATGCGCATCTAACCGGATTTTCCTTGTTCCTAATAATTTTGAAATGAGAGCAAAACGCGCAAGACTTTTAAGATCACCCTCGAAGTCCATCAAATTCCCCATTAGTCTATGGCGACCACCCGTTTCAACCAACGGGATCACTTAATGTTCTCTTTCTAGCTTTTCCAGCTTTTACCTACCTTTTAAGCGCTCAGCCGACAGGCAGCGCTTTTTGATTTCGACTTGCCTCTAGAGTACTAGTATACTAGTGCTAATTCGTTTAAATGGCGCACCAGCTTATCGATGTGTAGGCTTTTTTTTGGGGGGGGGGGGTCCATTTTTAAAATAAATAAAGCTGAGAAAACTGTATTTTATGCTTTTAACGTAATGCGCAGGTAGTTTCGATCGTTTGTCTATAAGAAAATTTCTTAGCGGTAGAGTAATTCTTATCGAAATTGATCGTTGCGTTGAACTCAAATGAAGCCTAAAAAAACGCGCCTGATGAGCTCAACGGTGAGCTCATTTTCGACAAACGAAAAAACGCGTTTAGGGTTTCCTTGGTAACCTTTGTTTGCTACCAGCTGATGTTTTATCTCCATTTCCCAGCCAAGTCGACGGAGTTTATACTTCCTTTCTTCACTAAATACATTTACTAACACCTGAGCGCTTTTCTAATACGACAGCATTAGAACTTTCCCGCTTGTTTTTTATCTAACATTGCCCATCAATTTCAAGAATCAGCCCGCAGGCGGAGCAGTCGGGTCCCCGTGGTGGTCTGTTAGTGATCCGGGCCGTGCACAAACCTATGTAACCACCTCCTGAATTTGTTCTGTCCCTTGGGTGGCGGACCGTAGTAGGCAGGGTGCATCGAGTGCATGTACTTGGGATGTTGGCGTTGGCCGGGCTTCTGGTTCCAGAACCAATCGAACGGCTGACGGATCCCAGCGTCGACGACCTCCGTCTGATACCTGCACAAGAGTTTATAGGTGTTTTCGCTGACGAGGCCGTGTTTCATGCGGCAGTCGCCTCCGGCCTTCCAGAGGAGATATTGAAGCCGGGTCCGAAGCCTGAATGGCAGGTCACGGATGTCATGGCACGAACACTTGGGTTCCCAGAGGCGGAAGCGCCGACAATAACCCACGTGGCTGTATCCACCGGGTTGGTGTTCGCACAATTCCTGGCACTTCTTCCACCCCTTCCGCCGGATGTTCCGCGCCCTTTTCCGATTTCGGATGTTCACCTTCCCCTCGCATACGTCCACGCTGAACAACCCCCTCGGTTCGAGTCCCGTCTCTGGAACACGGAGAAGGGGGAATAGACGATGTGAGTCTAGATCATAGAGTACATAGAGTCGTAATATAAGTGGGTGAGTTGGCGCCACTTTTAAGCATTTTCCAGGTCCCGAATTCCGAGACTACTGTGTGACGCCGGGTCGCTTTTTCGATACATAATTGATTGGTTGCGATACACGGGTACCCGGCCGTCTGATGTAAACAAAGAAGATAGGAATCACCACGTATTCCATACCACCATTTTGGATCGAACATGTATCGAAAAAGTGACCCGAACTCGGCGCACACCGGGCTCGGAACTCGTCGAGCAGAACATGGCGCCAGCTCTCCCATTTACATTACGACTCTATGTACTCTCTGGTCCAGATGCCACTTCAGGTATTTGCAGTCAGTGGTGTCAGTAGCCATGTTTGCAGACGAGAAACTAGTCAAGTTTGAAATGGAGGGGGGGGTGACTTTTTTCTTTTTTTTTGATGGGCAGTTAGCGTAAATCCACCAAAGTGTTACCTTTTTCCCTCGGTGATAGTCTTCTCCATCCCCCTTCTCCCTTTCCCCCCCATTTTTCTTTTTTCCCAAATCCTTCATCCCCCTCTCCCCTCGTTTTTCTGTAAACAAAGTTTCGTTTCATTTTTAAAAAAAAACAATGATATATTTACACGTGAGAACTAAGCAAATTTCTGCGGTGGAAAAGGAGACTAAACTGCTGATTATAGCCTCAAATTGCCTCTAGAGAACATCAAATTGTCAAAATTTTCCGAGGAGGCCCAACCGGTTCCTTCTCTTACCATCCCTTGGAAATCCGCGGCAGCTTTGAGGGGGGGGGGGGTTA